TCTACGGAAGGAAATTTGCGATGTGTGAAAATTGCCCTTTTTGTTTTATTTTTGGAAATTCCGCTCCGTAGAATTTTTAAAAATCTTTGTGAATTTTCCTTTTCTCGTGCCAATAGCAATCACTGAAAAAAATCAGGGGGTCACCGGGTTAGTTTTCGAATTATTTAAGCTACAGGGTAAAAAATGCGTCTGAGTAAGCCTATGAAAACGTTGCCATGGAAACTGCTAGTGACGAAATGTCACTTATTTTTGGATAACCAATGATTACGTAATTCAACCCCGTAAAAGTGTTCAACTGGCCTTGGTCAGTCTTTTTGTTGTATTCTTTCAAAGTTACAAACCATCATAAAGACGAAAACTGGTACGAGCCACCTTAAATACGATCTCGTCACGCAAGAAGTCAGACTCTTATAACGGTACTCGAGACCGTAACTAGATCGTATCCCGATGTTTTTCGCTTATTTTCAACTCTTTACTCCATTGTAGGATTATCATTGGTGGTGGCGTTCCTTCCTGACAGGTGGCTGTACTGCGGTGTATTTCTTTCTGTACTCTATTCATTTCTTTGTAACCAAACTGACCATAACAGGAACAGCCTCCACCTTCCTGTACTTCGGCTACACACTGATTATGGTGATGATCTTCTTCCTTTTCACTGGTAAGTGCTTTATAGGTTTGGCCATTGTGATTGGAATCCTGCGCCATTGTGATTGGTATCTTTTGAATTTGAATATATGAAAATCGTATATGTGTGCAGCCCGGTTTCGTGAAATGTATGAAGCGATCCTCGCAGTAATGAACCCTTCCTGTATAGTAGTGGAAATAAGGCCTGAAAAAAGAAAGGCCTCATTTTCATTATTACATAAGTAGGGTTCATTATTGTGAGGATCGCTTTTATTCATTGGTATCCTTTGCCATCATGATGGGTATCCTGTGCCACTGTGATGGGCATCTTGTGTCATTGGTATCCTTTGCCAATGCGATTGGTATCCCATTCCAGGCTCCCGTGTGGTGGAAACTCAGGAAACTAGAGTTGTTCTCTGCTGCGCCTCGAGAAATTCTTACTGTCTTACAAGATCTACAAATAGATGCCATGTTGCTTTTCGTCTGTTCAGGAATCGATCACAGAAGATGTCATGTGGTAAGAAATATAAGTGGCACACGGAACAGACTCACGGCAACATGGAATCCATCTGTTTAATTTTTTATGCAATAAAAAGCAGTGGTGACGTCATCTACGTGACTGTCCTCCAACAGATCACAAGTATGAACCAATCAAAATGTGTGCATAAATGAGTTAGCCTTTTATATAAACCACGATACTTGCACGCTAAATATAAAATTAAACATCAGTAAAGAGAATTATGTGCCAACTATTTACACCTTTCATTTAAATTTAAAATCGCATATTTTTTTCCCCAGGAACTGTGGGATTTTTCGCCTGCTTCTTCTTTGTGAGAAAAATCTACAGCATCGTCAAGGTAGACTGAGAAACTTAATGGAAACTGTGCTATTTGTGCATCAAGTGAAGGATATTGGAAATATCATTATGAACTTTAGCCAGCCACAACAGGAGACAAATGGCAATTGTTGGGCTGGGAATAAGTTACTAGGGGGATCTTGGTGGTTCCGTTTAATTGTAATTCAGTAGTCGTGGTATCAACTTCAGTTGAAATTGTTACCTTATTCTCTTGTGTTTAAAAAAGTAATGAGCACACAACACGGACTTAATATGTAAAACTTAACTTGGAAAACGAAGTTTCATTTTGAATAATTGCCAGTAGTTATTTGTATGCTTGGCGGTATAACATTTTAGCGGAGCTCACAGCGCGTGCGTAGCGAGTGGAAACGCTAGTAGCTCATCAAGGCGAATCTTAGCTGTTAATTGTAATCCTTTTGGTTGGTCATATGTGGAGAGTTTCGGTGGAAGTTAATTTATTGTTCAGACTATTACGGCGACCGTGAGACACGGGCACGGGGCAAGGTTATTGGAGCCGTAGTTATCAGTTTGTTTTATACACTCTTACCAATGCCAATAACTCAGTTGAAGGAAAATTTCTGATCCGCGATGGCTACTCATGTGAGCCAGCGGTTTCAAAGCGAAGAAAGTTGCCAAACGTCTCGTAGTTCATTGTCACCATGGAGATTCTCATCATGCACGTGTGACATGTTTGCGTGCGAACGTGTCACTGGCTTGCAGTTATGATTGGATGCATTAAAATGAAAACCCTGCTCGACTAAATTATAAAAAAAAAATCTCATGTATAAAAATTGGGAGTTATTTATCGAATAACTTTTAAGCAGGCATCTCGTTGTAGTTGTTGAAAGTTGTCGGATAAGCGCTTCTCATTACAATGAATTTAAATTCATTTCAATTGCGGTAAGGTATTTATCGAAGTTGTAAGAGGAAAGAGAAAGCGACATGAAGGCTTCATTTCATTTGTTTCAAAAGTTAAGATTGTGTACCTTAGTTTACTAGCTTACTATGGAGTTGTGTTACCAGCTTATCATTCAGTGCACGAGCGATAGACCAAAGTTCCCGATTGTTTTGTGAAGCATTAGGACAATGTAAGGGAAGGTGTTGCTTAAAGTGAAATGTTCTAAACGAATCTGGGAGCTTGGTGTACGAGCTGCTATCTTTAAAACGTTGCAACGTGAGTACAATATATTTTTGCCTTGCATCTGGCAAAGAAGGGTACTACTGTAAGCAACTGGAAGTTGTAGGCTCAATTTCCCGCCTTTTTCTCGAGTGCGGACCTCATTCTTTCTTGAAATCATAGCAGGAGAATATCATGGGTGCACCTTAGACACTGGCTGGTGAATAGACCCTACGATTTCTATGTAGTCCCTCGCGCAGACAATTTTGTGTAATTTGAAAGTGTGGATGTATTAGTGCTTTCTGCACTGTCTAACTTTAATTAATTAGCAGTTCCTTTTTAATCCCATAATGTCGGTATTTTAATTTCAAACGTTAACTATAGACAATCCTACGGGCTTTTCTGGGGATAAACGCCAAACTATTAAGTATACTCCTCGTATTCGGGGCTATTACGTTTTCGCGGTTGGACGTTTCTATTTCAATATTGCTCTTCCAGATTACTCTTTTCGTGCCATATGTACTTAAAATTTGATGTACGGATTGCGTAGTCGGTGCAATAATCTTAATTAACAGCAAGCTTTGTTAAAGGATAATGTCTGTAAACCAAATTGATTGATATTACACTTTAAGACGTATTCCTCGTGACCATAATGTTTTCTTTCTTCATTCTGTTTTTATCAAATTGTTGTAGTCAGTAGAGTTGGAGTCCTTAAAAGAAAGAGGTCATTTCTGGGTTCCATGACCCTCGCTTTCAAAACGAGGCGTGACAATGTTTCTTAGTAAAGCAAGCTTTACTTGCACGAGATTAGCAAGACATTTTCAACCCCGATTTTGAGACAAAGCTTGGGGGCATCTCAGAAATACTCTTTTTGACTAAAGTAAATAAATTCGCACTTATCGACTGACCGTGTTTTGTTTCTTTTAAAAATAAGAACTGTAAAGATGTTTTACCAACCCTTGCGAAAAGTAATTGATAACTGGCTTTTCTCTATTGCTTTGTCACAGGTTTCTTTTCATACATGTACTGTTCACCCTTTCCTCCCTAAACTTCCTTGTGTTTCCTAAGTGCTCCCCCTATTCTATACGAACCCGTTTTGTTGTTGTTTTTATCATCATCCTTGAGTTCTGAGCCCTGTTCTCATCTCTGTAAACTGCGAAATTGTTCGTTACCAACAGAATTTACCATTTTCAATTCTCTGGGGAAATTTCTCGGCCAACGAAAGAGCTGTGACCTTGAAACCACTGCTATGTCGTTTCGATTCGTTAATCCACGAGAAATAAAAGAAATTAAGTCGTTAAAGCTCGAGAAACTTCATTTTTAAAATAGAGCTTTAATAAAGTATATGTAGAGAAGAACGTTTAAAACCTGTAAACTTATATGGCATTAAAACCGCTGCGACTGTTTTGAATAAACTGACTGGTAAGTTCACAGCTGTGTAATTTTAGACAACGAGCAGTCTCCCTCTCCTCGAGTTACGTCGCAAATGCGGAACTTTTCAGTATCAATGCATGAATGAATTTTCCTAATCAGTTTTGAAAGAGTACTAGTCGAATCTTTAAAATCTTTAAATACTTACTTAAAAAAAAAAAACAGTTAATCTACTCTAAAGAAGGTCTTTGAACTCTGTACAAAAACAACGTCAATAAATATTACAAGCTCTAAGCCGAATGAGAGTGTCTTGTTTTCCATCAATGTACTCTGAAGATTTCAGAAAGCTGTCTCCAGAGATGATTCATCTTCCTGTAATGAAAAAGAAAAAAAGAAAGCTAGAAATTTCGGATTGAAAAATTTTGTACGCTGCAAACTCTGATAACTGTTTTATCCCTAAAGCCTATTAGATACTTGGTTTCTTTAAGACTTAATCAGACGACAAAGGAAATTTGGATCCGATTACAGAATCCGAGTCCACTACAGCTCTTACCGTCTCTTTCTCTTCCTGCGAGTCATCAAAGAAATCATCAGGTAGTTCTTTTTTCTCTCTTCTTGCTCGTACTGGTGCCTTCTGTCAATGCGAAAGAGTAGATCGAAGGGAAATGAACTCAAGTCTCGGCAACGCAGGGCGCTTACCATTCACTCTTTAATTCCCATAACTGACAAAGACAGAATTTCTCCTTACAATATTAATACAATATCAAGCAGACAAGCGATGAGTCGATAGTCGATCTAAAACCAAATTCTCTGAATGACAGACGGTAAGTAGAATTCCTGATTTAATATTGATTTAATATTGATTTAATATTGGGAGTAAAAGGATTAATCTGAAATAGCCAACCATACTAATACATTCAGGAATTAAAATGTCTTTTTTGGGCGAACTACACCACAAAATAAATCTGAAATAAGATAAACTGTACTGGCTGAAAACGGAACTTGCTATCTAAACAGACGGTTCTAGCGTCCGAGTCAGTCCCTTGATGTAATCCCTAGCTGTTCTTACCGTTTTTTCCTTGTCTGTGTCGTCTTCACTCTCATATTCTTCGATTTCATCCTCGTCTTCAATATCCTCAAGACTTGTACGGCTACAAATTGAGACGAAACAAACATTTTGAATCTAACCTTTCTCTTGAACCCAACAATTATGTCGAAAGCAGCATCTGATTATTTACAATAAGGATAAATAGCGCACGAACTAGCGACCAAAAAAGCAGCGACATCAGGGAAATTAAAATGCGACTTCGAGCACGACATTGAGGAAATTGCGACAGCGATATCAGAATCTTCCGAAATGGCGACGTGACAAAGTTTGAAAATCAGACGGGCGACATCTATACCCCCTAACCACAGGCAGCCCAAGCTCACTGCTAGGAAAGCGGACGTGACTCTTACCGTGTTGCGCAACGTTTTATATTTATAAAGGTTTGTATGGGATGTTATCAGTTTGCCTTAAAAGAGAGAAAAATGTCTTCTTTTGAACTAAAATGGACTTACCTTATTGCCTTGTTGTTTTCTTTGTTGATTCCTAGCGTCGCAGGCCATTTTGAAGCGATTTCGGCGAGTTAGCGCTATGTTGGTGTTCAACTGCTGAAAGGGTGTCTTTCTTTTAGCAGCTGAACACCAACATAGCGCTAACTCGCCGAAAACGTTTCAAAATGGCCTGAGACGCCAGGAATCAACAAAGAAAACAACAAGGCAATAAGGTAAGTCCATTTTAGTTCAAAACAAGACATTTTTTCTCTCTTATAAGGAAAACCGATAACATCACATACAAACCTTTATAAATATAAAACGTTGCGCAACACGTTAAGAGTCACGTCCGCTTTTCTAGTAATGAACTTGGGCTGCCTGTACCCTAACAGGGCCTCAGTGACCGACCAATATAGATCGATCGAATTAACGAACGAACGAAAACCGACCAAACAACAGACCGGACAAACGAACCATCGAACGAACGAGCGTTTTATTTCCACACATACAACACTTACCCGATCCCCGACGTATCCTTTTTGCTGTAACTTAATCGAGCCTTTTTGCTGTCTTGGCGACCTTTTTGACTGGATAACCACGATCTCTGAGATGATGCTGGAGGACTGTGGTAAACAACATAAAGCTTTCAGTTACAAGCACATTACAGGAAGCGCCTAACTTGACAATTCTTCAAACGGTTACAGACACCCAACAGTGATCCTTTTTGCAAGTTCTACATTCACGCAAAGATTTCATGAGGTAGGAGACTTTCCGACTTTGAAATGTAGCAACTTGCAGCGGAGACAACGGTGTTCACCCAAAGTATCTGAGCTTGTACTGATGAAATTTTGGCATTTAAATTCACTGCTCCGGAGATTTTCATGCAATTAGGACAGAACGGAAACTGCGCGCTCAGTAAGAATCTCCCCTTGTATGTGAGTAAGTCAGGCATTCTCCCTCGTTTTAACGAAGAGAGGTAAATACTAAAAATATTTTCAAACCGGTAGAACCATCCTTTCAACTGTTTGAATTTTCAGGACTTCCAAGCAATGTTAGGCGGTAATAGAAGCTACTACAGGCGTTAAATTTTACCGGTTACCTCAAGGAAGGAAGAACACAAATAACGCGTGACCTTTTTCAGCAAATATACCTTTCAAAATCTTGGTCATCGAGGTCTTGTTCTTCGTCTTCGTCTTCCTCTTCGTCAGACTGTGATGTCTCCTCTCGCTTCCTTTTCACCGCTCCTTGTTTCTCAGCCGTTGACGCTTCCTCTGTGTTATCCTCAATTTTATCGGTCGTTTGGTTTGGTTTCATCATAGAAGACAATGGAGCCTGGTCTTCCTGTGACCATTCTTCTGATCCGGATGACATAGTGTCATCATCCTCATTGCTGTCATCACCAGCTTCAGGCTCTTCCACAACTGGTGTGACAGGTCTAACAGGTTTTGCCGTGGAGAGTACGGTCTGTTGTGCTGTTGAGGTGGTCGACTTCTGAGGCCGTCCACGAGGAGCTTTCGGCTTCTGTTGTTTTGCCTTTGTTTTATTTTGTTTGGATATCCCTTCTTCCTCTTTACTCTCGTCCCCTGAAGGTAAAACAAAAAGGAAAGGTTACGGCAAACATCTGGCACCAGCCGTTTGAAGACTGGAGTGACATATTACGGAGCAAAACTTACCTTCCATGGGTAGTTTTCTTTTTGCGCGACTTCCTTTTGGCTGTCCTTTAAACACAAGGGGAGATTCGCATAAGACGCTTATCAAGTTTAAAAAGCCGGGGGAAGTTTATCATTACCAGTCTACGTCTAGGTGTTACTATATTCCTACTACGTCAGTCAGCTTTTCAGTCCACTCAAACACGAAACTACAACACCTCTTAACAGTGGAGAACATAAGAAACTAGAGAAAATTTTATTTTCCTTGAACTTCTTGCAGCAAACTTCACCCGCCGCTTGACAAGTAGAGCTTGTTTGAAAGCTTGATAAAATTGAACCTTTTTCACTTAAACGCGAATCTCTTGACACATCCACGTGTTCGAGACTCAAAGAGTACGACTTCAGCAAATTGTCATTACTCATCTTACTTATGGTTTCAAGATTTCCTAGCTTTTCCTCGGCCTTGAGTATTTTTGTATCTCTCCCACAGACCAGCAAGGTATCATCGAAAGAACCTTTCTCAGTGAGTATAATTTTCACAATTGATCATATAACGGGCTCCCTCTAATTCCATACCTTCTTCCTCCTCGTCCTGTCCGGTCAGGCCATTCCTGTAAGATATCAAAGGACTCCACTGACCTCCCTTTTTGTGAATCATCCCTTTGGCATTTTCATCCAGAAATGATAAACTGCAAGTGAATAACAGTTTACAATCAAGTTATAACATGAACCTAAATGCTGTAAGAATACTTTCATCATTAATTTTTCTAGATTACTCCATGACAAGAGCAACAAAAGGCAAGGAAGGTTCACGCGATTATTAATCTCCTTTTTTATTGATTTACAATGATTTCACTGTGTTCCAGTTTTTCCGACCGTTAAATTCTTTTTTCTTTTTTTTTTTTTTTTTCATAATGGAGCGCTTTTCTATTACGTGCCCTAAAACCTAAAACCAAAACCAAAGTAATTACAATGGCCATCAGAAAAGAGAAAAATACCCTTAAAGGCCAATGAGAACTCAAAGTAAAATCAAACAAACCGCCAAAAGCGCACGAAAACACGGGTGGCCAAGTTGCGATTGATGTTAATCTTGTATCTGATTGGTTGAGAGGGTGGTGCGAGTTTTCTGGACCAATCACAAAGCAAAGTAAAGCAAAGCCATAGTAATACTTGATTACTTTGTACACTTAACTGGTAATTTCTAAATCGCCTCCACCCCATAATCCCTATCTGTGGATATATCATTTCACTTACACGCCACCTTTCCCTGCCTTATCCTGAGCGATTAACTTGAACGTAAATTCGTTCAACACGTCCAAAAATTGAAGATTGTTTGGTGGTTCATCTTCACCCCTCTGTACATCTCCATTTCTCAGACTGTATTTAATACCTTCCCTACAGAAAAAGAAATCAGCCAAACAGTGACATGAAAATCTGCTCCCTCGCCAAGGGCCCACACAGCAGGAGCTTTAGCCAGTTTCCACAGCATTAAGCGACTTGGAGTATTACTGCCCCCCCCCCCATCTGGATGAGATGCCAGTCCATGGCAGTTACCCCCTAGCATTTCGTCAACTTTCCTGGACCGTTCGCCAATACCCGGTTGATGGAACGAAACACCGAAAATAAACTCCAAACTTGTATCGAGACCCTTCAGAACGGCGCCAGAGCGGCGCTGAACTAAATCTCAAGATCCTTCGGAACGGTTCTAAATATAAATCAATCTCAATATCCTTCCTAACAGACGAGCACTATCCTTTCGCAGCCTCCGCTCATTTCATTCAAATGCGACGAAAACATAGGCAATTTTTTGGTGAGAAGTTCTTTTCAGACTAATGACCAACCAGGCACTTTTAAATGCGCTCGTGCACGATACAAAACGTGTCTCTTCATTCACAACTCTGAGAAAATATCGGGACCAAAACGATCCATTAACATCACCGATCACTTCAAGTGCACCTCCGCCAATGTAATCTATCGCATAACTTGCACTTATTGCAAATAGATATACATCGGCGAAACAAGCAGAAGACTAGGTGACCGATTCCGAGAACACCTTCGCGACGTGGAGAGGAATGACAAGGACACATCGAAACCAGTCGCTAGACATTTTAATTTACCTAACCATTCTAAGCAACACATGGCAATCTGCGGTCTTTCCTTACACTTAGGTAGCACGGAAAGCCGGAAAACTCTTGAACAAAAGCTCATCTTTCAAACCGGCAGTCTAAATCCCACAGGTATCAACGAACGCTTTTCATTCCACTAATTTATTCGTGTTTTTCTCGTTGCCATGTTCCCACCAATCACGTAGCTCCTTTTTCTGCCTTTAAAAGCACACACAACCCACAATTCCTCTATCATCTTCATAGGTGACCTGGTTAAAAAATTCCACCCTGCGTCAGATGGGGACCACTTCAGCTTTATCACGTTTCATCAGAAGGCGCGAATGGTGTTTAAATTTGCAGACTCACAATATCACGACAAGAACGAACTATTGGAGAGAATAGTCGAAGAACCACATAAGCTGGAACTACAAACCCGCACTGATCTAGCTTTGAAGATGGCACGGGATCAACTGTTTACTGAGGAAGGAGGAATAGACCAGACAAACCAAATGTCATGATTGTACTCACAGATGGAAAACCAACAAAACCTAGAGACA